CGCGCCATGTGGGACCCTCCTCTGGTGGCCGGGGAGCAGCCGGGGATCGAACCGGCGCTGCAGAAGCCGCGGGCAGCTTCACAACCCAGCGCTCAACCGCTGCGCCACCGGGGAGGCCCGGTAGCTAAATATTTTTTGTTCTATATTTATTTAAATTTTCAAACCTAATCCAGATTTTTTGGTTAAAAAATGTTTTAGTATTCTGAAAATATGTTTGTTTTTATTACCTCCCTATGAACAAACCTTGCTCAGATCATAGAACCTACCATTTTAAGCACGTAATACAAATGTATATTTTTAATCCAGATATCTTTTTCTCAGTAATATCTGGGAAATGTTCCTAGCCAAACCTAATACAAAGACAGGTAATTTTTGGGTTAGTAACAAATTTATTAAAATGTCATTTATATATCACACATTTCACGCCTTTGAAGTGTATAATTCAGTGATCTTTAGCAGATTCATAAAATCATGAGCTGTCACCACAACCAATTTTATTTAAGTAATTAATTTATTTTTTAAAAAAGATTTATTTACTTATTTATACAAGAACCGGGGTACAGGCCAGATGCGCAGGAGGGTGAGAGGATTCACCAGAGACAGAGCGGGAAACAGAACAGGCAGACTGACGAAATACACTGCTGAGGGGAGCAGCAGGCGAGACCGGAGAGGTCTGCCACACCATGTGGGACCATCGCCTGTGGGCCAGGATCGAACAGGCACTGCAGAGGCTGCAGACAGCTTCACAGCGCAGCACTCACCGCCTGTGCCACCAGGGGAGGCCCCACAGCCAATTTGAGAACATTCTTATCATTTCAAAAGGAAACTCTGGATCCACTAACAGTTGCTTCCCTTCTCCCCCAGCCCTCCGCAACCCTAGGCAATCACTAACATACTTTCTGTTTTTATAGATTTGCTTACTCGGGACATTTAATATAGTAGAATTGTGCAACATCTAGCCTTCTATGATGGCTTCTTCCATGTGCCATATTTTCAGGGTCTATGCATGTTGTAGCATGTGTTGGTACTTCATTACTTTTTGCTTGACAGTATTTCATTATGAATATGCTACATTCCCCAGTTGATGGATATTTGAGTTGTTTTTATTATTTCATTGTTTTGAATAATGCTGTTATGAACATTCATATAAAAATTTTTTGTGTAATCATGTTTTCTTTTGTCTTGGCATAAAAGTAGGTGTAGAATTGCTGGGTTATAGGCTAACACACACACACACACACACACACACACACAAGTGCATATAAAGCCCATGAAATCTGAATAATGTTTGTGGATTGTACCATATGCTTTTTCCTGATTTTGATATTGTATCTCTATAGTTGAATAAGATGTTACCCTCAGGGGATATTGTATTGAAGGGACACAAGACCTCTCCATACTAAGTTTACACTGCCTTGCGAATCTATAATTTTTCCAAACAAATTCTCAGGCAAATTTGAGCCAGGGTGAGAAAGGATCCTCCTCTCTGAGGTTATAAAGGAACACATTCATAGTTTAATTCCTGTATGTTCTTAGCCTAGGTATTTTGCAATTTTTTTCAGATGAAAACAGAAAGTTCCTGTGCATCCCACTCCCACACAACATCTCATCTTGGAGTTCTTAAAAACTCAATTGAGATAAACTCATGCAAACCTGATTGGTGCTCAGTGGTCCTTATCTCAGGGAATGGCTCTCCCTTTCACTCTCATACATGCCAGAGGTGGGCAATCACCCCTGAAAATCTCTTTCCCTTATACCTCATCCATTCCAGAGTCAATCTTTCTTTGAGTCGAGTTCATTTCACTTTCTAAGTATCTCTTGAATCCATTCACTGCTCATATAACTGTCCCTTCTTCCATGATCGGAGTCTATGCTTTCATCAGTTCCGACATACCTCCTCAGTATGTCCAGGGGGCTTTTCAAAATGCAAACCTGGTGTTATCGGATACCTACCTGTCCCAAACTGACTTACTACAAAGGGCATTTAAAGTGTCTTCAGGGCCTCTCTGGTGGGACAAGGGGTTAAGACTCAGCACTATGAACCTATCGGCAGCCACTGCAGCCCTAGTTCGATCCCCAGTCAGGGAGGTGACCTACATCGCCCGGCAGAACTCTCCTGATTCACCCACTGCTCCCCTCAGCAGTGTATCTCAGTCAGTCTGCCTGTTCTGTTCCCCACTCTGTCTCTGGTGAATTCTTTCACCCTCCACACCTCTGGCCTGTATTCCAGTTCTTGTATGCATAAATAAATCTTTAAAAAAAAAACCCAAAGCATGAAGATCTTAAGTATAGAAAGCTCTTCAACACTAAGTGAAAAAAAATCAAGACATTAAACAATGTATGTAATGTTCTATTAATTGCATAAAACAGGATATACTTATTTTCATATTTTCTTGAATAAACATTAAAAAGGATATCTAAGTAAGCAGTATTGTTACCTATTTGTGTATCCACTAATGTATTTTAATACCTATTACTGTTTAAAAAATTACCCCAAATTTAATAACTTAAAAATATTTATCTCACCATTTTTGTAACTCAGAAGAATGGTGTAGCTGGGTGGTACTGGCTCAGACTCTTTCATAAGGTTATAATCAAAAGGTTAAGACTTGACTGGGACTAGGGCATGGACTTTCAAGATGGCCCACTCACATGGCTGTGGGCAGAAGGCCTCAGTTCCTTTCAGCTGGATGGCTCCTTCAGACAGCTCGAATGTCTTGATATGGCAGCAGGTCTCCCTTAAAGGTATGGAGCTGAGAGACATGGAGAGAAGAGAGAAGAGAAGAGAGAGAAGAGAGGAGAGGAAGAGGGGAGAATAAGTCTCAGCACTTTTATGACCTAGTCTAAAAAGTCACACAGACACAGCTGTCACATTCTATCCCTTTGAAGAGTCACTAGGTTTGGCCCACACACAAGGGAGGGGAAATAGGTTTTACCTTTTGAGGGGTACTGTCAGAGAATTTATTGACAAATTTTAAAACCACCAGGGGAGGGAGGTGAGAGGTGAGGGTAACTGGGTGAACAGTGGCAGGGCTGAAGGGAAGATTTTCAATTTATCTTTATGCTTTTTGAACTATGTATTTGACTACATTAATCAAATAACCCATTAATCACATTTCTTTTAAAAAGGAGCACATTTTAAGTTATTAAGAAAAGAAGTGGGAGAAGAACGAAAGAAAAAAAGTTGAAGAGGTTGTGAAGGCAGAAAAATTGGCTGAGGTGAAATTGACCTTTACTCAGAAAGATAGGAAAAAGGGCAGTCTCCCGGGAAGGTCCCCACCCAAGCAGACGGAGCATTTTTCACCTTCCTGAGCGTGGGGTGGTAATGGTGTGCGGCCGGTAGGAATTCTGGATAAAGGGTTTGTGGAGGAGGAAGAACTCTGTAGCCAAAATGTTCTATGGCAAGGTTTTGCAGTGGGCGTTCACCATTTGTTACACCTTAAGTCCTGTGACAACACTGTATTTCTCCTATCCAAACCATTCTGTATCCGAAGCCTGCAGTCATTGCTGATTTTAAACACTATTGGATGGCATACAATGTCATTTCTGCATAATGCTTGCTTACAAGCCCGGCCCTTGGGCCCTCCAAGCCCCTGCCAGGTTTGACATCTATAACTTGCACAAACTCTCAAGCACGCCAAGGGGATTTAAGGCAGTAATTAAATTGAGGGAGATTTAATGTGTACACAGACGTGGCATGAAATGCAACAGGTTTATTGTCTGTATAAAAAGTTCGTTAAGGTCGAGTGTACTTGTTGTAGAGCAACCCAGATACAAAACGGGGTGCCTGACTGTGGGTCCTCACCCGCGCGCTTAAAAGGACTTATCAATGCTCTACTGCAGGCACACGCGAAAGGTTAATAAAAGGTTTATTTACAAGGGAAGGGGAAATGAGGAAATGTACAGCTCAGGGGGAAAAGTGGGAGACAAAGTTTTAAATGAGTCCTACCCGATCCTGCGATCAGGAATCCCAAAATGGCGCTCTGAGAGCTGGCTGCGAGCCAGGAGCTGTGTAGCCAGGAGGCGAGTGACAGCGAGCCAGTCCAAGGCCCACGTGTTTGGTTTTTATATCCAACCTGGCTGCCCAACTGCACCCTCAGGTCCCAGCCACCCTCCCTTTGGTGGTGACAGGATTTGTCTTTCCCAATGTCTTGATGGCTTTAGTCTGGAGTGGGGGTGGAGTCCACAAAGCCTGTATGTGATTAGCTCAGGACATCCTTTCCCCCTAACATACTGACCTGGCTTGTACGAGCTGTACTCACTGCCCCCTACTCACGCTACAAGTTGGAAGGCGAGGAATAAAGTCTCACAAACAAAACCACTCAGTTTGTTCTAAACTCTCTTTTCATACAGTAATGCACCTTGAGGGACACGAAGAACCTACTTTTTTTTTTTTAAAGATTTATTCATTTATGCATACAAGAGCTGGGGCACAGGTCAGAGATTGGGGGGGGGTGAGAGGATCCACCAGAGACAGGGTGGGGAGCAGAAGAGGCAGAGTGACTGAAATACACTGCTGAGAGGAGCAGCGGGCGAGGGGGATCTGTTAAAAGCCCACTTTTAAGCCATTTAAGCTGTTCCTTCAGCAGAGCCAGGAGTGTGGGCAGAGCGACCGCCCTCTTCTCGCCCCGCAGCAGCCAGCGAAGCCCTCCCAGGGTCTCGTGGGGCCCCCCGGACTCCAAGCCCGGTCCCCGCACCCCCGCCAAGGCCAGCTCCAGGATGGCGGAGTCAGGGGAGCCCACAGCGCCGCTCGCGGTTGAGCGGGCCCACCCTCGCCAGGCCGCCGCCCCCGGATTCGCGGGGTTGGGGGCGCCCGCCTACCGCGGCGGCGGCGACCTGAGGGCTGCGGGCTGGGCCTCCGCGAGCGGGCGGAGTCCCGCCCCTTCTCCGGTCCCCGCCGCCACTTCCGGCGCCCCGGGCCCGCCCCCCGCCGCCGGTGCCACATCCTCCGGTGACGTCAGCCGGCGCCGCCATATTGGAAAGGGCCGCCGCTGCCGTCGCCTCCGCCTCCGCCTCCGCGTCGGAGCTCGGGCTGCCTCCGGGGTCGCGGCCGCTGGAAGGCAGGGCCTCCGCTCCCGCCCGCCGACGCCGGCCCGCCCGCGACGCCCCGGCCCGGCTCCCCATGCCTGCGCCCGGCGCCGCGGCCGCCGCGCGTCGCCCCAGTGCCCGGATTTAACACGGAAGCCCGGGGCGGGGGCCGCGGGGGACCCGGAGGGAGGCCCGGTCGCTCCCGCGTCTCTCCCGCCGGCGCGGCGCCTCGGCCGGAGCCATGACCTCGCTGACGCAGCGCAGCTCGGGCCTGGTGCAGCGGCGCACGGAGGCCTCGCGCAGCGCCGCCGACAAGGAGCGGGCGGCGGGCGGCGGCGGGGGCAGCGGCGAGGACGACGCGCAGAGCCGCCGCGACGAGCAGGACGACGACGACAAGGGCGACTCCAAGGAAACGCGGCTGACCCTGATGGAGGAGGTGCTCCTGCTGGGCCTCAAGGACCGAGAGGTGCGGCGCGGCGCGCGGCGGGGCGCCCTGGCCCCCCGCCCGCGCCCTCGGCCCGGCCGGCCTCCCGGCCCTGCCTCCGGGGTCGCCGCCGCCCTGGCAGCCGCGGGGTCCTCCTCGCGGGCCCCGGGGACACTGCCCGGCCGGGGGCTGCGGGTCGGAGGGGCGCGCCCCGAGCTCGCGGGCTGGGCGGGCGGGGGCCCCCGGGAGGCCTTGGCGGACCCGCCTGGGGGGGTTTGGAGAAGGCCGCGCACGGCTTGGAATTTTGACAAATTTCGGTGAAAGGCTAAAGGAGACAAAAGTTGTTTGACTGATTAGAAGTTAAAATTCTTCGCCAACTTCCTGGAAAATGACATTCCGGGTCAGCGTGCCTCGGGGAAGAAATTATTTTTAGGGTCGCTGTTACGTTTTGTCTGTTGACTGTTCTCAAGCCCGTGCAGGTTAAGGAAGGACTTTTTCGTGGGGTGCAAAAAGCGCCAGGTTGTGATTTGATGGAAGCTCTCAAGCCTTAAATAGGGAACTGTGCTGTTTGTTTTGGTGGCTTGACTTTGGTTTTTTTCCACTCCAGTATCTTAGGAGAAGTTTCAGACGTAGAGAAGTTGAAAAAGATGTCACAGTGGGCACATATACAGATCTTCTAATTCCATGTAACGTTTTGCTCAATTGCTTTATATACTTACCGCTCTAAAAAAATGATTATTTTTAGAGACCTGCAGACAGACAGACAGATGAATTGTGTAAACCTTGCATGAGGAGGTGATCCCAGGAGCTTCTTTCCTTTCAGTGTGGGAATTACAGACAGCACATTTTGAAAGATTCAGAAGTATCTTGTTTAATTTTAGGAAGATACTCCTAATTCGTAAAGATGTGCCAAGAAAAAATGTAATCCTTATAAAGCAACTTAGCCTTGTTTTACCAAAACTTCTCAAAAGTATGTTATTTTCATTTGGGCCATTTGTGGATTCATTATATTTTGTAATCTAATGAACTGAAGTTTGCCTAGGTAGAAATGTTTATTAAGGCGTTTACATTATCTCGGTTTCTCACTTGCTCAGGTTTTACTTATCACTTGAGGAAAGTTGATGTCCTCTTGACTATGAAAGGGGCACAGTACTTATTAGTGAGTTATGGTGAAAACACTGTGTGAAATTCAGTTTTACTTTTTGGAGGAAAGAATGAACTGGATGTATAGTGCAGAAGTAATTTTTTAGTAAAGCATTCATTCAGTTTTGCTTTTGTAGGCATCGCAATTTAGAATCTCGGTGATAAACGTTTTGTTTTTTAAATCTGAAAATAACATTTTAGAAAATAAAAGAACTTAAAATGAAGAAAACAGGTCATTCATGTTCCTGAATGACCATTTTGTTTTATAGTTACTGAGACCTATTTTTATGTGTGGATATGTCCTGTATATAAAACTTAAAATTAAGAAAAACACAAAAACACTAAAACAAAAATTAGTTTTTGATCTCAGTTAAACTGGCTGAGGAATTAGGAGAAAGAACTTTCTTGTTTCAAGTATGTGTTAGTCTAAATGTTTTAAAGTGTATTAACATGCTATTTTTCTGTGATGGGTTTTCATGAGGATAGTCTAAATATTTGTTGAAGCTTAAATGGTGCTTGTTAAATTTACACAATTTAAAGTTCTTTGGTGGCAGGTAATTGAAACCATCTGTAGTATTTATTTTGTATCAGGAGTAACTGTACTTAGCCATGTAATGGCCAGTGTTCAGACACTGGCTAGTTGTGAGCATTTCTTGCTGAGTTCAACCACCACACAGGGAAGTGTTCCCCTTTTTGCCGCATGTCCAGAGATGGAGTGGAGGGGTGGGGTGGGGTTGAGATTTTACCTGCAGGAATTAGGAATTCACTATCTTTACGTATTAATATCCAGGGAGATTTTCCATCATCTTCAGTTTGTTAGGGGTGACTTTTTAGGGGGCAGAAATTATTTTTATGTATAATCTAGGCATTTTATGCTTTTTCATATTAGATTTTAGCCTAATCTGGTATTAATAAGTTCAAAGCTTTAGCAATAATAGATTTTTATTATTCAACTTTTTATTATTTTAGCTTGGCATCCATCTTTGTCATATCTAGGTACTCTTGAGGTACTGAAAATCTCAAACTTTAAGCTTAGACCTGTCATCAGTGGTGGACACATTATATGTATGTGAACCTAATTTAACTTTTAAAAAAAGTCAAGATTTACAACTTTTAAAAATATTTCTTGCTGAATAATAAGCCTACAGAGAAATGCAGATAAGTGGTGTAAGTTTTCCACAAACTGAACACATATGTTAATCCAGCATCTAGATCAAGAAATAGAACATTTCCCCAGAATTTTTTATTTCCTTTCTACTTATTGCCAGTCCTCAAAGGTCACCCCAAAGCCTAATTTTAAAATTCAGCATTGAGTGATTTTGCTTGTTTTTGTGCTTTAATCTGTCTTGCTTTTGCTCACCTTTGTGAGATTCAACCATATTGTATGAGGTGGTCTTTTGTTCATTCTCATTGTCATGACAACATTTAACAGTTATAATCTATGATGTTTGAAAAGTTAACTTTGATTTACGTTTTGAATTTAACGATCTCCCACCTGTACTGAAAGGAAGGCTCTGCTGGGCAATTAGCAGGTGATCTGACTTCAGATTACTTCTTAGGATGACTCTAAAGACCTTGTGAGAGGCTTTGTTTAAATTAAAGTGCACAGTTCAGATTTTTTATTGATGATTTTCTCTTCTGGCTTTTATTAAAACAGATTCCTGCATACCTTTGGGGATTGGATACCTCTGGGGATTAAAGATACAAGTATTGAAGTAAATCTTTATAGAGGCCACAGCAAAGATGACAGATAGTTTAAATTTGAATTCATCATCCAAATGATGAGCAAGATTTCTGTTATCTCCCTTGATGAGGGGGAGGGGCAGCAAATATGCCAGTTATTTCCTTTCTCAACTTTGTTTTTCACATATTTACCTCTACTAGAGCATTTTCAGAATGCCTTACTGAGAATTACCTCAAATAGCTGATGTCATATACTTTTAAATATCTTCACTGGTGGCAAATCTTTGTGCTTTAAGGTTCAATTTTTTTAAATGGCCAAGTGTAATTAGTATGTCTGTGGAATAGGAGAGGTGGAAAGGGTGAATATATTGCTGGCCTGAGGTATGTCCTTTGTTTTACATATTATTTAAGTTCTCTGAGCCGTAAACGTCTTTTTTTTTTTTTTTTTTTTTTAAAGATTATTTATTTATTTATTTATACAAGCACTGGGTACAGTCAGAAGCGCGGGAGGGTGAGAGAATTCACCAGAGCGGAGAGCAGAGCAGGCAGAAGGACCGAAGGACACTGCTGAGGGGAGCAGCGGGCGGCAGGAGAGGTCTGCTCGCCATGTGGGACCCTCCTCCGGTGGCCGGGGAGCAGCCGGGGATCGAACCGGCGCCGCAGAGGCTGCGGGCAGCTTCGCAACCCAGCGCTCAACCGCAGCGCCACCAGGGAGGCCCCTTAAACATCTTTTTTAAGATGGAGAGAGAAACAGTTCTGATTGCACTGTTGTGGACATTTATTGTTTTATTCTCTACCGAGTCTTCCCCTGGTTTTATCTTGCTTTTAGGGTGGTCCCATTGTGTGAAGACTGACGATGCCCTATTGATGTCTCTACGACTTTCCTTTTGTGGTGCAGCCTGACAAAACTTTCCTATCAGGTTTTTTCCCCCCAGGATTTTGAATCTGGAGCGGTTTGGATCTTGAGAGAGTGGAACAGGCTGTGGGAGATTTTTCAGTGTAGTATCAGTGTGTGGATCAGACTGTTCTGTTACTGGTTCTTTGAGCTCTTTCTCTCTAGCTCTTTGGTGCTGTATTTTTTCCTCCCCATTTTCCAGACAACTTTCATTTTGTAAGCTTCAAGAGTCTTCTAATAAAGTCCCTTTTTAAGGATAGAATCAGTTACTGATGTTTATGTTTGCAGACAAGAACCCTAATGCAGTACCTTCAAAAATAAGTAGTTGGTGCTTAAACTGGGTAACAGAGTAAATACAGTTAAATTTAACAAAAATGGTGGCACTGACTTTTGTGTGGCTTTTAAACTGGTTCTGGAGGTTAATCCTGTCCATGCATTCCATTTTTGGGGAAAAGTTCTCAAGATCACTACTTTAAAATGCAGAACTTATAAAGATGTATGACTTGGTTTATAATAGCATGTCCTTTCTGTACATGAAGTGATATACACCATCAAATCTGTGCATCAGATCTGTTAATGGGGAATTCCTTCAACAAATATTCAGAATTTTAAGATCCACTAAGATTTTATTAATTTAAAATATAACAGAGTCTTCTGAGTGTGATTCTTTTTCCAATATAAATATCCCCTTTATATTTTTGAAAGATTTGAATTTCCATTTGTTTTTTGCAGGTTTTTTTTTTTTTTTTTAAGATTTATTTATTTATACAAGCACTGGGTACAGTCAGAAGCGCGGGAGGGCGAGAGAATTCACCAGAGCGGGGAGCAGAGCAGGCAGAAGGACCAAAGTACGCCATTTGGGACCCTCCTCTGGTGGCCGGGGAGCAGCCAGGATCGAACCCGCGCTGCAGAGGCCGTGGGCAGCTTCGCAACCCAGCGCTCAACTGCTGTGCCACCAGGGAGGCCCTTTTGCAGGTGTTTTTAAGAATAGGTACTCAAGTATTCAGGATCTCAAAAATAGTTTTTGGAGCTTATTAAGCCATTTACTTATCTTCTGAACAAGATTTTATACTATTGAAATTACTTTCCAGTGCTTCAAAATTTTTTCAATGTGATCAAAATATTCACTGATTCAACTTATAGTTATAACTAATATTCGGTACTTACTAGTGTAAAACCATTCGCGTGTTCCTGTATGGATCATTTGAAATTATCTTCATTTCAAATTTGAAATTATACAATTATAATTTGAAATATTTTTGTCAAGTTTTGAAATATCTGGGGAGTTTTCCTGCTATTTAAAGAAAGAAACTATAGTGTC